TGTAAAAACCTCTTTTGTTTTCAGTCAGTTGCTCTGGAAGAGTCACGGGGCCTCAAGGCAAGGAGGAGGTCTGAGCTTCATTAGCACAAGAAGCAAAGCTGTGTCTCCAGCCAGCTTGTCTCCTAGGCTCAGAGGGGGTCAGTAACCTAGACCTTCGGCAGGTCCAGAAATATTTGGGCACTCAAGAATTTCATAGCCGAAGACAGCTGAAATATTAAAGGCTGGATAGCACTAAATATTCATAATAAATGGCTTGCCTTTTGACAGACCCTTGGCCAGTCAAAGTATAGCTTTAATACATAGCTGAATCTCTATAATATATTCTTGCGTTCCCTTACAGCAAGTTATATCTGATCAAATGAAAAGCATTTGTTAGTCCTGTAAGTTAGTTTAGATTGGATGGGCATGCTGTTTGATGACCTGCCACCTCTTCTAATCAAGAAGTCTCTCTTGTTCAAATCTAATCTTTATCAATTTTGATCTATGGTTTTTCCTGAAGTTTTTTGTTCTCTCTTCTATAGCTATTCTATCATCCAGAGCAGTATGGTTTCTTACAATAGGCATTACGTTCTTTAATTGCTCTCGAAGGAATTTCCTCCATGATGACAAAAAAATAACTGAACTGAATTTGACATGGGGGCCTGCAAGAGGCCCCTCAAGACATTTGCTAATGGTAACATAAGTATGTAATTTCATTAACAACTACTAGAATATATTAATTAGCCTGTCATAACCTGGACTCAGCCTGTATTTGTGCATATGGAAAACAATCAGTTGCTCAGATGAGCTCATGATATTAATATTTTATCAGCAATAGTATTTTAAATATATGTGCCCTTTTATTTAAGTCACACACCAATGTGTTATTGCCAGAAGAGTTTCACTTCAATAGCTCAGGGTCCATTAATAAATATTTTGGGCTCAATGCCAGTCATATTCCACTGATGCCACTCCAAAGAAGAGATGAAAATGAATGAAAACCTCTACTCTATGCAACCCCCCCCCAACCCTTGTAGGAAGAATAGCTTCTCAAATAGCTCTTGAAAATGTATGAGAAGTTGGGACAGCTGAGCACATGGTGGGCAGGATGGGCTTTGAATTTACTGCCTGAAGACGGTTCCCTCTTTTCATTAAGGCTGAGATTGCCAAGCTCACTGCCAGCTTCCTTGAGTTCTTGAGTTCTTCATAGGAGACCACATATCACTTTTGGAAGCCAGAATGAAGTCCCTTCTGGAATAGCCTAATTAATTCCTCTAATGCTTAGAATCCTGAAGCACTTGCATCCAGCCAATCTCCAGAACTAATCAATCAAGCAGAGAGGCTGCTCACAAAAGCAAAGTCCGTAGCATTTAGAGTGCAGGATGGTGTAAGTGCCGCCCAAAGGATGCCGAGAAGCATCGTTGTGGGGTGCCATCTTTTGGAGTTCTGGCTAGAAAGCCCTGGCCATGAGCGATCCTATATGCAAATCCAAGCCACAAAGGAAGAAATGGGCTCCCAGTTCGTGAGGGAGGAGCTAAACCCTTCCTTGCTCCTTGCAAAGAACTCTGAAGTAAAATTCAGGAGAACCTTTGGGCTGTTCTGTGTTCTTAAAGGCTCATTAGGCTTAAATAGGATTTGAGTGGCTCTCCCCATGAGCTCACTGAATGGTTGTCTGAAATTACTGAGACGTTTTCCAAAGTTCGGCTTATATTCGATGGTCACTGAGACCACATTAGGCTGGGTGGAAGGGAGGAAACCAGGCTGGTGACAGCATAGTTGTATCATACTGTATGTAACGGGGATATGGAACAGGAAACCTTCCTCTATTCATCAGCAAGGACTGCCGGGATGCCAGAGACTGAGGTCTCCAGTCAAAGAAATAGATTGTCCCTCCATTCTGGAAGACATATAGCAAGGAATCATGATCCTCGGTTCCCTGGGAGGGCTGAGAAGACAGGAAATGTCTGCCCCAGGCCTCTCTCCTTGGCTGGTGCATGCCTAGCTTCTCCCTGGGCCTGAAGTTATTCGCAGCATATTTACTAATCCAAGGACTCTCGCTTGAGGCATATGGGAGGAGAGAGGTTCTCCACACCGCTCTCAGCGAGTGCCTTCAGGGAGTGGGAAGCACGATTTGATCTCTTAGCATGCTTAGAACAGCAGCAGGTATGCTGGTGCCCGCTCTGTGTAGCAAATGCCCTACACAATGAGATTGTAAGGGGTGTCTGTGTCCATGGTGGCAGGGCTTTCAGTCTGTAGACACGTGGCCCTGCTGCTTTAGGACCTGTGGTGAGGTGGGAAATCACAGGGCAACAGCCAGGAGGCAAAGAGAAAAGAGTGAATCCTCCAGTCCCCTTCAACCTCTGGCTAGACCTGACCTCTAAGGGCCACATCACCTTCCAGCAGCACCAACCCAAGGACCAAACCCTTCATACCCAGGGGCTTGGGGGACAATTGAGCACAGACTCTAGACTAGGTGTGTGCACAGAATCTACCCCAGCAGCTTCTTCCTGCTTCTCAGCTGGGAGAGAAACAAGAAGGTTAAAGAGGAATGTGACTTCAAAGAATTTAATTCTTAAACGTAATTCTTTACTGATCCTTTGGGAATTTCATTTCACCCCAATCCCACTCACCTTCCAGCCCCTCTGTATCAGCTCCTCACCCCTGCAGGATGCCTCCCCAAAAATTAATTACAAACAAACAAACAAACAAACTCACAGCGCTCCTCCGTCTTCCCAACACCTCTTCATTCATCCTAGTGGCATCGGGAGCTGATGAGCCCCGCCTGCAAAACGGTCATTGCAGTGAGTCTCTGGTCTGTTTCAAGGCCTCTGGCACAGTGGTCATCACTGGACCCTCACCGAAACTCCTCTCAGATATCCTGCTGAGGCGGTTTCAGTCTGAAATGACGGGAAAGTTCACAGCCAGACAGAGGGACAGCTATCGAACCATAGAAATGTAACTAATGCCATGGGACTGTGAACCCCCAAACGGTTCAAACGGTCAGTTTTGTGCTACCTCTGTTATTTCAGGTGTCAATTTGAATGGGCCAAAGGAAACTCAGATAACAAGTAAAACATCCCTGTATGTCTCTGTGGTGTTTCCTGAACTGGAGACTGAATGAAGAAGATTCACCCTTACCAAGGCGGGCCACCAACCCACCGAAGGCCCCCACAGAAGCGAAGGGCAAAGAAGAATAAACTCTCCTTCTTCCGCGGCTATGACACCCATCCTCTCCTGCCCTTGAACATGAGAACTCGAGCTTCTTGAGCCTTCAACCTTGAACTGAGACCTAAACCATAAGCTTGCCTGATTCACAGGCCTTTATCCTTGAACTAAGAGCTACACCATTGACTCTCTTTGCTATTGGATCTTCTGCTTCCGATTGAATTGCTTTCCCAAGTTGCCAATCCACAGGTGGCACACTGCAGGAGGTCTTACCTGCCATAAGCACATGAGCCAATTCTCGTAACAGAGAGAATCCTCTCTCCCCTTTTCTAGATCTCTCTACACATCCTATATACTCCTCTAAGTATACTACTGGCTGTCTCTCTTGAGAACCTTCTACTATTTTATCACTATTTTCTTTGGGAAGTGAAACCCTGAAAAAGAGGGGGTCATGCTGACTAAATTAACATCTAGATATTATCCAATGAGGAGCTGTCCACACTGGAAAAATGATCTGTAGATTCAGAGAGAACTTGGACTCTATAATTCCCCTACAATATATTGAATGCAGGCTCCCTGACTAAGATGTCACATGACCATTAGAGACACTTAGTCCCTTCCTTGGGATGCAGCTGTGAGAGTTTTTTGTTTGTTTGGCTGGTTGATTTGGTTTCTTTTGTCAAGTTGACACAATCTGGAGCCATCTAGGAAAAAGTACCTTAACTGAGGGATTGCCCCCATCAGATTGCCGGTAGGCAAGTCTGTGGGGCATTTTCTTGATTAATTATTGATGTGTGAGGTCCAAGCCCACTATAGGCAGTGCCATCTCTGAGCAGATTATTCTGTGTGTTATAAGCAAGCAAGCTGTGGAGAACAAGCCAGTGAGCAGCTATTCTTCCATGGCCTCTGCTTCCATTCCTGTCTCCACGTTCCTGCCTTGAGTTTCTGGCCTGACTTCCCTTAATGATCAGCAGTGATTGGGGTGTGTATGTTAAAAATCCCTTTCCTCTCCAAGTTGCTTTTGATTGTGGTCTTTATTACAGTAATAGAAAGCAGATTGGGCATGCTCTCAATTTTGTACTGGACATCACCAAAAAAATACCAAGTGGGTCACGGAAAAAGGAGAAGGAAATTGAGAACAGGGAAGCTGTGGGCCACGGGAACCCACAGAAGTGAACACATTCAGAAAGGCAATTGGCCGCCAAGTACATTATTTACAGAAGTTAAAATCCTCAGTCTGGGTGGAAGGGAAGCAGGAAGACTCCGAGTCTCCTTGTTGGTGTCTTCAAGTCTCTAAACTTCAGAGTCTAAAGGGTTATCAGAGTAAAAGGAACTTTGACTTGATGCACCGAGTCAAGGGACTGGATAAAGTTTCAGCTCTGACTCTGGCAAGGAAGTCAGGCAAACTGCTGTAGATCTGTCAAAAGGTACAAGAACCATGGCTTGCACATCCCCAACATTCGCTAAGAAGGTGGTCAATCAAGGAAGCTGTTTAGCATTAGCTGAGGGGCTCTTTGAACTGCTGGCCTGAGATTCTGAGAAGTCATGAAGAAGCATCTCATTTCATCCCGCTTCCTCCCAGGCCAGCTGCTCCCTCTTCTGGTCTAAGGGCCTCAGCTCTTCAACCTTAGGGCCCTGGCCCCTTTTGCAAGAAAGGGGTCCTGCAAAAAAACAAAAACAGTTTTGTTTTCCTACAATAGCACCTTTCTCAAGACTCCTCTGTTCAAGCACCCATTTGCAGCCTTATCAAAGGCTTCCCTCTGCCTCTCCAGTCCTCAACAAGCACCCAGCACCCCACCCACCCCAATAAGCTCACAAACTCTGCTTTGTGTAGATGTCTCCACCCACCAGGCCACCACTTGAGTCTTTATTATCACTATTTCTTTCTTTCTTTCTTTTTTTTTTTCAATCAACACATTTCCTAGGCAGAGAAGGAAAGTTTCAGGGAAAGGCACCAGATGCATTTAAGAAATCAGAAGCACGTCCTCTGTGACTTCCATCTAGGTCTAAAATTCCTGATGGCCCATGTCATCATCACCTCAGGTGTCCTCAGTGCTGTTTCCAAAACCAGCAAGGTTCTGAATGACCAGATTTCTCTGTCCAAGAGTTTTCCTGTGCCACCTCACAATGCTAACTCTGTGAGGTCACTAAAGGTCAAAATGGACCGGAAAGCAATTTCACAGTTGAAACCAATACGTTTCAAGGTACTGTAGTGAATAATCTTGTCAATTTGATTGGAGGGAGATGTGCCTAGGAGACCAGTGAAGCACCCCTATGGGAGTATCTATGATGGTGTTTCCAGAAATAGTGAGCGTGATAGCTCCAGCCTAATTGTTGTATTTGTCCTTTGATAGATCCATATAAAACAGTGGCGTTATTGGAAGGTAAATGGTATGGGGTCTGCTTGAGGGAAATAAGTGACTGGAGGCTGTAACTGTATTTTGTCTTGAATTATTTTTTAAAGAATTCTGGGGTTGGAGAGATGGCTCAGTGGTTAAGAGCAGTAGCTCTTTTAGAGGACCCAGGTTCAGTTCACAGCATCCACATAGCATCTCACAACTGTCTACTAACTGCAGTTCAAGGGGATCTATCGCCCTCTTTTGGTCTTCATGGGCATTACATGTTCTTGGTACACAGATATACACACAGGCAAAACACACACACACACACACACACACACACACACACACACAATGAAAACGGGCTGGAGAAATGGCTCAGCAGTTAAGAGCACTGACTGTTCTTCCAGAGGTCTTGAGTTCAATTCCCAGCACCCACGTGGCAGCTCGAAATTGTAACTCCAGTTCCAAGGACTCCAACACTGTCACACAGATATACATGTGGACAAAAAACTGGTATACATAAAAATAAAAGTAAAAAAAAAAAAACAAAACAAAAACACCACTTTTTCCTTTGGTTTTACTTCATAAATACGAGTATTTTGCCTGTATGTATTTGTGTACCATGTGTGTTCAATGTCCTGTAGAGGCCAGAAGAGGGTGTCAGAGCCCTAGGACAGGAGTTAACAAATGACCACACACCTCCATGCCGGTGCTGGGAACAGGATCCAGGTTCTCTGGAAGAGCACTGAGTTGATTCTCCAGCCCCTTGGTTTCTTTTTGTTTCCCCTTTCTCTATGCTTCTGGCCATCGTGATATGAGCTGCACTGTTCTGTCAGGTCCTCCCTGCCGGAGTAGACTGCTCTCTCTCTAGAACTGTGAACAGATGGCTACTGCCCTCCCTAAGGTGTTTATGTCGGGTACTTTGGTCACAGTCATGAAAAGCTGACGTGCGTCCTTGCATTCCCTCCATATACAATTCTAACACAAACATAGCACAGAATACACACCACAGTGAACTTTGTTTTTCCTCCAAATAGTAGATATCGAAGATTCTTCAACATCTATGTAAGTTACTATCAGTGTAAATTAAGCTGCTTCATTCTTCTTTATGTGTATGGGTGTTTTACCTACATGTATGTCTGTGCACCACACACATGACTGGTCCTGAGGCAGACAAAAGAGGGCATTAGATAGGCTGGAACTGTGGTTACATGACCGTGGTGAGCTGCCATGTGGATGCTGGGAATCAAACCCAGGACCTCTGCAAGAGCACCCAGTGCTCTTAACTGCTGGGTCATCACTCCAGCCCTGCTTCATCTGTTTTCACAGCAGCCTGAAGAGCCTGAAATGGTATCTTTAATCAACCCCAGCTGCCATGGAGCTTTTTTTTTTTTCAATTGCTGATTTCCAGGCCTCATTGTTAGAAATCACTCAATGAGAATTTCAAGGGGTGGGGGGAGATAGTAGACCCAGGAACATATTCTTCCATTTTCTCTGGGTTACCTGTCATGGACTCCTTTACAAAGCAATAAAAAAAACCAGTCCATCCTTTTAATTTTCCAGCTGAAAAATCTGGGGCTGAAATCTACAAAGCAATTTCTTCCAAAGTCTCACAGCGAAGAACTCAGGGGCAGAGCGAAGAGGGCAATAGGGGGTCCCTAAACAGGAGTTATGCTTGAATTTACTCGGTTATGGTATGTGCCATCAAAGACGCGACTGTGATAAGTAGCCCCAAAGATCGTAATTCAATTTACCCGGAGATTTCAAGCGAGCATTTTCTTTTCAGCACTGTCTGTGGTATTGGCCCGGAGGAACTCAAGTGCCTTCTGAGTCATCAGAGGGACAAAAGGGGACACCAGCATGTTTTAATGAGCAGTGTGTTTTACTAGGCTCTAAATCCATGGGTGGTAAGTTTGGATGTTTTCAGAAAGCAGCATATCAAAATATTCTCGGAACTCAGCGGAGTCACTTCTTGCTGTTTTGAAGAGCCTGGAGTGTTCTTGTGTGCACAGGGCACGGTCTAGAGAGGTCTCGGCTCCAGATACCTTTAAGGGTGACTCTGCACAGGATATGACATGAAAGCGGGGTGTTGTGGCATCCAGTTGAGGAAAAGGACTCTATAGGGCTCTTCATCTTCCAGGATTTGTGTGTGATTGTTTATATAAAGGCATCCTAGAAAGTATAATGGATCCTATTCAAAATCAAATAATACTGCTTTGTTACTTCTGGAGTTTTGTTGCCTCGGGGCACGGACCCCTCGAGTTTCATTTAAGCACACATACAAAACACATGTTGCCCATCAAAATGCTTTGATGTTGAAGATTTGGCTCAGGTCAAATTGGCCAATACTGTTCATACATCTTCCTTTTCAAATTCCAAAATTCTTTTTGACCTATAATCTCACCATAAAAAAAAGCCCAAGAGGTCTTAGAGACATAAAGTGGTAAAATCATAGTATATGCATGGATTTATAGAGATACATAACATTTACCATATGCCTTGAATAATTCTAAATGTTCTTCGGAACCACCCTTTAAAAGGAACCTCACCAGTGCTCTCTCCCATTTCATAGCAGAGAAAACGGAAGCATCAACTTAAGCCTTACTAACTCTCACAGTACATACTTACTAATGATAGCTCCAGTATTCTAGCATTGTCCCCAAATATTAGTATGATTATAGTATCCAAAGATGACTTCGCTTGGCAGTTAATTGCACATGTGCATGAGTTTTCTATTTCTGCATTTAAAAATTGCCCAAAATTTAGAGGCTTGAACAATAAGCTTGTGTTAGCTCTCAGAATCAGAGTGTAGCCTAACTTCCAGGCTCTGACTGAAGGACTGTCAGAGAGGTGCAGCCATGATGACGATCCGGAGTGCAGCTGTATCTGGAGGTGCAGCATGGGAGTGGTCTGCTACAAGGTCACCGGCAGAGTTGTTAGTTTCAACTCTTCCTAGACCCTCAAATCCTGATGGCCTGAGGTAAAGGCACCCCCACTCTCACTGCATGGACTTCTTCAAGGTTGCCTTATTGAAAGCACGAGAAAGAGGGAACAGAAGAAGAGAGGGGAGGGGAGTGGAGGAGAGGAGGGGAGGGAAGAGGAGGGGAGGGGAAAGGAGGGGAAGGGAAA